TTCTGAATGCGCCACGTTCTCGACTTCCGTTAAAACTGTAAGGACATTTTCAGGATCATGGACCAATTAAACGCTTCTCTGAACAAGCTGATGCACTTCTTGTCGTGTTAGCCAAACAAATCTTGAGAGAATTTACGCAATATCAGTTTGTCATGAGTTCTCCCATGAGACCAACTCGTCGTGCATATGGGACGAAAACCCAACTGTCAACGTCCCACAAACGTTGTCACTGTTCTGTTCATCATTAAAACCTGCTCCTGCAACACCCTCCCAGGCTGTCATATACAGTTTTCGCTATGGATGTTGGGCCGTGTTAAAGGGGTTGAGTTTGACGCGGCGTCAGTTCGCCACAAGTTGTTGAAGAGGCAAGCGACAACAATTGCTGAAAGTCGATTAACGCCTGTTCCCTGACACCCCTTCAGCACCCGAGTGAGCAAGACTATAAGACCATCACGCTGCGGATCCACGGGCTTGACCCATACTGTAATATTTGTCTGAACAGGGCTGAATCGTAACACTTCTTCCCTAAAAGAACCATCAAAAGGCGCCTATCCCAGGTCATTGCAAAGCAACGACGAACTGAGACTGAAAACGCGTTCAGAGGTTTTGCACTACAGATGGCCGGAAGTATTTACTTGTATTATGATGGTAGTTGTACTTTTTTTGGAAAAGCTAACAGGTTGAACTTCGCTTCTGAAACCAGGCTTCCAGTTTTAATGTGGATCAGAACCGATGCTCTGTTGAAACTTCCCTTGACATCTGAACACATCACGATCAAGTTCGCAAGATAAGACCGGAAATCGCTGCCGACAAAAATATTCTTAATGGGTGCGTCGCCGATGATCTCAGCAGAAAATGTTTCGTTTCCGGAAAATATCAGAGCTTTCACAGATGATTCCCACAATCATTCCAGCAATCTCTTTCCCAGACAAATATTGCTTTGTTCCAAGAACTAAAAGTGACGCGAAATCGTGCTTGACGAGAAGGTACATGGAGTTACTCTCAGGCCGGTCAAGCATCGAGCCCTGAGCGACTACTTTGCAGGCATGCTTAGAAGGACGGAAACGTTAAGAGTTTAGAATGGGTAATCACGTAGGCACAACAAGTATAATACAATGGTATTTCATGCAAAAGGTGCTCAAGGTGAGAATAACTCAGACGGCTCACCGTTGAAGCACGTTCCGAGTGCATTTTAATCGCGGACCTCTGGAATCGCTTGACGAGATCGGACAAAATGTTTCTGCAGATGCAAAAACGTGTTAGGATCCGAATTCAGCATTAGGATGAAACTCGATTTACTACTGAATTTTACTTAAACTTCATGGCAGCGGCTATCTGATCACGATGACGCGCTTCGGTCGAATATTTGGGTATCTTCGGATTCGAAACACTCGGACTTAATCCCGCCGCCCCCCCCCCACTGGATTGGAAGGTTTGGAACGCAGTTGTGTCCCAGGTAACCCCTCAGTTGTTTGGAGACTTTATCTCGGGGTTTTCCTAAAAACGAAGCCACAAAAACTGTATAGAAATGAAAAAGTCACAGACCAGGAAACTCGTCATGATCAGGGCTAGCCACTGGTCTTATGGACCATTTTTTTGAGGACCGATAGCAGAGCGATGTGAGTTCCATTTTTTCATTGCCGTTGTGCTTCCTTGAGGCTTAGTGGTAAGTTAACCTTTTGTAGCCTCGTGATACGATGGTTAGTGGAATGTTGTTGTAAAAGGTAGAGAGAGTTGGGGAAAGGAAAGGAGAGTGAGTGAGAACAAGCTTTCATCTATGTAAACACATAACGGTAACTGCCTATCAATATTCACACAGGCACTCCTTACCGCACCCACGAATTCGGAGCCAAAAGAGCATTCTCGACGGCGGTATACCTGAGAAACTCTTCTTTTGTTCCGTACTTTATTGACAGTGACCGATCACCTGAGCCCTTCTTCAGGTTATTCGCTGGATTTCAAAACAAGCAACGTCTCGAACACGCTCATTAGTAACAGCGTCAAGAGTAGTAATAAATACAGCAACAGCAAAGTTCGAAGAAAAGAAGAGTTCTCTTATCACAGTGGAACTCAGGGAATCATCCATATTACCCGATTTTGCCGAGTTCCATGTCATTCAGTGTTCCGAGCTCAAATTAGGTGTAGTGGTCAATATAAGCGCTTACAGCGCACGCGGTCCAGCAGTCAAATCCTGAATCAAATCCCACCCGAACCAAACAATCACTTTTTCCCCTCAGGGGCAGTAAAACTGACAATAGGTTCTTCTAGAATGATAGAAACCTTGACTTGTAGACTCCCGCGAGTAGCTCTGTAACCACACCGCGTTCACTACACCATTATATACAATCTATACTGAGGATGGAGAGCACGTGGCTCCGTACTTCATTCGAACATGGCGTAGCAAGTGTATTCCGAGGGACAATTCCATTCGGGACAGTCGCCATTCTGTCCTGCTCTGGACAGGATGACATGTGTCTCAAAGACATGAGTAATTGCTCCAGTCATCACGTAACTTCACCACCAACTTTAAGCAAGCCACGCAACAACCCCACCCATTCCCGTTATTGGGATATCGAATGCATGATGAAGTCAAATGCGCGGCGCATCGCAGAAAGGGAAGACCGCGGCGGAATCTTTGATCTTTCAGGTTTTCTTTCATCAAGACAAGTGAACAGGGCGGAACTTTAGTTACTGGAATAATTTTCTATGAAAATTAGAAAAGAGGTCCTCCAAATATGTTGCGTCTCCTTGCTGCCTTCCATTCCACGACGGCACTTCTTCCCCTCTCCTACTATACTTCTTATCCCTGAGCCAGAGTAGGCGTGGCATTTGAACATGGCACGGAACTGGTTACTCGTGGAATATTCCAGTCTGGGACAACTGTCATCTTGTTCTGGTTGGACAGAGACACGACAACAATTGTGTCAAGATGAAAATATTCCACCAGAAGTATAAACAGCTCGCGTTAAGTTGAAGAGTATACTTAGCGTCAACCCTCCATCGCCGGATATGGGTGCAGCTCAAAGTTTTTATTTTTTTTCCCATGCTAAAGGGTATACCTTCATAAAGAAGGCCTAAAACTCTGATCATCAATTTCTCGTGAAGGAATTTTGGACCTTTTTCAAGCAGTGAAATCATTTTCACCTTGTAGGGGTTGAAAACAGGCGTGCCGTACTCTAGGAGAGGTCTGACGTAGGTCGAAGCCGCAGCTACTAGAATTCTTTGTCGAGAGAACCTTGAACAGTGTTCTGGGCTGACCTCATCACGTTATACTATCCAAGGAATATTCTGCCATTCTGCCATAGCTGAGACTTCAGTGTGGTCCTTCGTGAGGTTCTCGGTTCGTTGGGAATTCTTGTCACCCCATGCTCGGGTTTTTGGGGTCCAGTACCTTTCTTATCAAGTTGGAGCATCGTAGAGAAGCGTAGAAAGCGTAGTCTGGGTCATTTTTAGTT